CAGGTTTTACTCAGCCTCATGTCCTTGCAATATTGTAGTCCCTACTGATTGCTAGTGGTCCTAGAAAAATCACTCTGGGTCTGAATCAAATAGCGGAGAACGAAGGTCCACATGGTTACCTCTATAGGGCTTTTCCCAATATTTTGGAAACTATGTACTTCATGGTGATACCACGGCAGGTTTTTCTGAGTCTCATATCCTTGCAATATTCTAGTCGCTACTGATTACTAGTAACCCTAGAAAAATCACTCTGGGTCTGAATCAAATAGTGGAGAACGAAGATCCACAAGGTTACCCCTATAGGCCATTTTTACGTATATTTATGGTCTATGTTCTTCATGGATTGAAGTAAAGGAAAAGTTCAACGGATCAAGCTGAAATTTTCAGCAATAACTACTAACATGTAGTTGAGCATTTGCTGAAAGTTTCAGGCAATTCTACCTGTACTTTCTAATTGGGCCGAAATGCACTTAAAACGTCCCCCGTCCTTTAATGATATAAGGGTAACCTGTTGCATGATAAAGCTAGAAAAGTAATGTAGAAAACTATTTCTGCCGAGAACAAGCGAGTAGTAGAAAAACTTAAACGTTTATCCCAGTAATGACACCACCAATATGTGGCCGTATGAAAACTTTAACACTGTGGAAAAGAGTATGCTTTTAGGAATGTAAAAGCCTGTAATAAGGTGTCAATTTCGGTAAAGTGCTTATAGTGTTCAACGAAGGGGAGAACTCTTAACGCAGGTCTAAAAAGAGTTTATGCCGAACCTTGACTGAGCTTTCAGAATAGATTACGTTCACGGTCAAGACCATGATGATGTTCGTGAATGTTACAGGTCACGTTCATCTCTATCTGTATTTGGCTTCAGCTGTCACTTTCTCCCTCCGTTACAACAGTGCAGTTCTCTGTTAAATCTTAATCTTTGTGACAGACTATTGACGTGAACATGCTTACTATTTGCAGCTATAAACCGAAATTTTATTCTACTTTGATACATAGGATTTCACACAATCTAAAGAACTGTTTGTCCTGAGGTCGTACGTGAGCATCTTCTCGTCTTCCAGAACGAAAAGACTGGGCTATTCGATCCAGACTGACAATGATTCCATTCGTTGCTCTCCTGTTGATGCAATAGGTCTACAAATTCTGTAGCTGCGATGATCTCTTCACGCAGAGCCAACAATAAAATTGTCAGATCGTTTCATTATCATTTTACTTTTTCTCTAAGAGAAAGAGCGTCGATCGCCTGAATTACGTAGTTTTGTGTTCGCTCTTTTCTCTTTCGTACAAGAAATGATCTCTGTTCTTTTGTCCTCACTGTCTATGTCCATCTTGTCAACATTGCATCGACTGTATCGTAAAATTGTAGTTCCACGACACAAATATAAAGAGTTGAGAAGTTCTCATGTTAATGCCTCAGAACATTGTTGTGGATTTTTATCATGAACATCGAACGTTTGAGAGTCAAAATAGTCGCTTTGCCTACAGTTTCTTATGTTTGCGCAGTTTAGATTTCAACGAAGTGTTTGTTTTTCGCATATATGCATAACAATTAGGACTAGTTGTGGGAATGAAAGAATTTGAAATACAGTGAAGTGTCTGCATGGTTGTCAACTGTACACTGCGAATCGGTAAATAGAAAGACTTCAATGTTTGAAACTAGAACAACGGTTAACGCTGAAAACACTTTTATTCTTGCAAGTAGTGCCGATTTATTTGAGTATGATCAAGTAGAAAAAGTAGATTGCTTAAATGCAAACTGACAGAGCAGTGAGAGCAGCAAATGCATGAATTAAATGAGTCGTAGCAAAATCAACTTTGTTGACTTTCAAAGAACCCATGCTCATGATAGGAAACTAAAGTAAAATTCCGACATATGAATATATAATCCATACGGTTTTCGTCATTAATCACGTTGACAGCTGCATGTCTAACGAACGAATATCCGACAAAGCGAAAAGATATTAATCTGCGACATTGATTGTTCTATTGCTTTTACATTAGTCGTATAGAAATAGTTCAGATAATGTTGGCTCTTACTCTTTTAATACTGTTTTCAATAATGATCGATCGTGCCGCTGCAATGAGTACCAACTGCAATATCAGTGACTCCTTGACTCTCGGATTGAAACCATATGTTGAGAGTGCTGATAACAAACAAGCGGGCATTCAAAACACTGAACTCTTACAATCACTTTTTGCTCAATCTTGCTTCAACGGAGAATTCCGTTTCACGCGCGGCAAGTGGCCAATTGACTCATTGTTATTTAATTCCACGCATAGTAATTTTGTCATTCGCGGTTCTGGAGCTCACCTGGTTCAAACTGGTAGTGGTAATTTTATCAGAATCAGAGGCGTGACAACATCTATGACAAACTTCTTGATAAAGGAATTAATCTTGGAGGGAACTAGTTCTGGGTCCGTTATTTATCTTGCCGCATGTCAGTCATCGACTATCGATAGTATCACCACTATTGGCGGTACTTATGGTATATTCTTGGAGCAAGCTTTGTTCGATATTCGTGTTCGAAATAGTTACGTCTATGGGGCCTCTGAAGTCGGAATATTTGTTGGCCCAAGTGGTCCCATTCAAGGTGCAAATGGGACAATAACCAATGTTGAAATCTTTATCGATGAAACACGCGTACACGGATGCAAAACTGTCAGCTGTTGTAATATCAACGACGGTTCTTGTCGTCGGCCGGAATTTGCATATCGTACTCTCTATGGCATATTGATCGAAGGTGGAAATTCTGGAGTTTATATTGCTCGAGTGTCAATGGCCTGGACTCGTCGCAGCGGATTCGCCTTCAACTCGGGTAACCAGTTGATGCCGTCAGAATGGGTATTTATTCGGCAAAGTTTGGTCGATTCCGTGCGCAAATACGATGATAGTGACTTTCCAAGAGGTTATGAAATTGAATCGGCTGCCGATGTGTCGCTGTCGGACAATTGGGCTGGCTCAGTTGAAGGTGACGGTGTTTACATCAATACTTTAACTCGAGATGCAAACAGCTTCTTGAAACTCACAGATTTTCGTATCATTAATTGTTTGGGAAATGCTTTCTACTTCACTGGAAATAGTCTCAACACAGTGGTCATGGTAGGCAACAACATGATGTCGAAAAATGGAAACAACGGTATTGGTGGCAACACCAGCGCCATACAACTACACAAAGTTTCAGCAAGTATCCCGGGTTAAGACTCTTCAGTAAACTTGATTATATACCATTTCTTCTAATTTCAATACAACGAAGTAATTGATAGTATTACTTACTCAATTGAGTTATACCAAGAACTTTGAAGATTTCTTGTCAAATTTAATCAAGAAAGCTGCACCTTTGATCAATATCTTTTTCATAATAAAAAAAATGTAACAACTTCGAGCGCTTTGAAAATTTTATGAATCAGCCAAAACAAAATTCAATACCAAAGAGTGTGGATGTTAGTTTGAGGGTCGATATGCTATTCATCCACATGAATACCTAAACCCGAAAAGAAGCTCGAATAAACAATGATTTGGAGAACAAAGATTTTGTGTTAATAAAGAGAGTACACATGTTATAGGGCTCTTTTGAGGTAGTCCTGAGTTTTTGAGAGACAAACTTTGAGATATCGAACCGAGATAATAACTTGCACTTTTTTGGTGAAAAGTTACTAGAATAGAATGATTAAGCTAGCATTTAATCAAGCATTGGAATTTTGGCTGTAAGATTCCCTACCCCCGATAACGATACCATTTGGACTTCCACATATGACTCCCTCTCTAGAGCGTTTTCAGAGTCTCCACACTGACTTTTATGGACGTTGAAGAACATAGATAGACCTTCCACTATTGCAACATTAGCTCCAAGATGAACCCACATTTTGGAACTTCGCTTGAAACAAGTTAGGAATTTACAACTTTACAAAATCTAGCGACAGAAAATACTTCACATCGCTATCTTATTTCTATCACGAGACACGAAGCACCAAACTTGCGTCAAATGTGGATTTTTGTGCATATTTAGTGGGTCATAAAACAGTAAGGGTTCAATGTTTTAAGTTGAAAATTTAATTCTAAGTAGAATCTATTAAGATTTGTAATCACAAAATAAAAACCGCTGAATCGATGGAGCGGTTCTTGAGATACGATCCTGTCAAGACTCTCTAATCGAAATATTCATTTTTAGGGTTTTTTGTGAAACGATCACAAAAAACCGAAGGCTCAATATTTTTTAAAACGAATTGCGCCAAAATTCATAATACTTTTCTTTCTACAACATATCTTGGATTGAGCAGCTTCTGTATAGTGATCTTTCTGGCTTACGTAAAATGGCTCATATAGCCTTTTTTCCGCTTCTTGTAAAGAAATTTCTACGTTTTTGACCTGATGGTATAATAACGCTGTTGTCAATCCGCTTGGTTGTAATTAATTCTTTGCTACTGCCTCTTCACATCGGTTCGTTGAATATAGATCTGTTGTTTTTCCAGAATTGTTGTTAAGCAGACCTAGAAGCGATAGGCTACCACACTGATATTGAGTAGAATTCCTTTTAACCTTCTTTATTGCTATTATTTATTCATACGTCAATTCTTCTATTCATCTTCTGATAAGTTATCTATCTCGCTATCGCTCACATCTATTCACATCCTTCGATATCAGCCTATCCGTTCTCTAGCAATCTTCATCGCTCAGGGTTAATAAACGGCACTGTAAACGACATTAACTGGTGTAACACAGTGAAAATCGATACCATTACGGCGTCACCGTTGTCACCCTGTTTCACAATGGAAATCATTAGTTGAAAAAATGATGGCTGCATGCTTTCAAAAGAAGAACGACCCGTAAAACTGGATGATAAATTATAGTACAATACGTTGGATTTCGATGAGGCAAATACCCGATTTTGTAGGAGTTTAGCACCGTTTGCAGCGTCATACTGAATGCGTGAAATGGTTGGATGTGGGTGTACTTATGAATGTGCATGCGAAGTTTGACATTTGATTCACCCACCCAGACATACAACTCCATCCGACGCCACCCGCACCCACACTGACATCTCCAAGTTGAATTTATTTGATAATACAGTGTTTCATTCACTTTCGCACAGTTGACAGATGAGTTACATTACACTTCATGGTTTTCCAATTTACCAGTCTTGATTTGAACTGCTCTTAAAAAGTATTTGAATAACATCAAGAATAAGAGCGTATGATATTACTTAATAGTTTATGTACATAGATTCTATTATTTAGGTAAAAAACATTCAATTCTTAAATTTCAAAAGAATTTTATCACATAGAAATACTAATCTTTCTTTTTTCTTTTTCTAAAGCAGGCGATTAAGAGTAAAGCTTAATTTTATTTAATTAAATAAGAAATACATTTTGAAATGTAGAAAATATAGAAAATTTGTTACTACTTTCGAGATGAACCACACAATTAGTAGAATGCATTATTAAAAATTTAACGACACCACAGACAGCCCAATATCTACTCGTATGCCTTAATACTATTTTATTTTATTCAAGCTTCACGTGACATGCACTTGGAAATGTTACACTGTCTCCTTTTAACTCAAGTTATGATTCTATAGAACATAGACTTTTTCTCATAAAATGATTTCTAGTCTTTCTCAGTTTATAGAGATTATTTACTGAGTGAGAAATTAATATTCGAAAATATATCGCCAGTAATGACAATACTTATAACAGGCAATGCAGTGTTTTCAGAATTAAAAAGAAATGATTAAACATCTGTAAATTTGTTTCGCTGTCAATGCTATTTTTTTCTCTTTTTATCTGTGATCGTTTGGAATTGGAAAAAACACAAACTTAAACTGTGCTGGAACTAGAAACGATGATAATATAAAATAGGAAACTATTGTTAAAACAAGTTTGTTTAGTCCCCAAAGAAAACATTTTTTTAACAAATAGATGGATAAACACAATATAAACTTGACTTTTTTGCCAAGCTTTATTCGATTTTTATCTTCCTTTCTGATAAGTGATAATAAAGAAGGATGTCATAATATCCGGAACTCGGGTATCGAGATTTTCAAACATCGATATATCCCAGAACAGCGAGGAATTTGAGTGAATTTGTTGTAAGGAAATGGATACCCGAAAAGTAGGTGTTGGTGGGAGTGTGGACGTCAGTTTTTGTGTGTGTGTGTTGGTGTGAGTGGAGTTCATGAAGCGTACAATACTAACATGCATATACCAACATCCACACTCACAGGAGGTGCTGTGCTGTGTGTGTACTGCCCCGTGTGTCAGTCCTATCGTGGCATTCACACCAGGTGCTGTGCTGTTTATGTGTTGGTGCCCAGGGGGCGCGGGGATGGGGGTAAGCGAAATGCGGTACTTCAGCGTACTTCACTATACTCCAAGATTATATTAGAACAATACTTTAAAAAATTTTTGCTATTTGAAGTTTAATATCGATCTGTGTTACGGTGCTTTACGTGAAATCCAGCTTGGATATGTCTGTTTGGTAGCAAAATCAAAACACTTAGCTCTACTCCACTAACTGCGGAGCAATTAATTGAGTACATTGTTTCATCGAAGATATATTAAATAAACTGCGGTGTTGCCGCAGGATACGAATCTCTGTACATTCCAGTATATTTTATTTAGTTTTCAATTCAACCAGAAGTCTTGCAGAATGATTCAAAGTTAGTTTCCATCGAGAATCGCGTAGTTACTTCAAATTCACTCAAATTCCTCATTTTTTACAGATAGGGTATCCATTTCACTGGATATCGTAACTTGTAACTCACAGATACCCACTTTATGGATATTATGACATCTCTGATTATCAATTATTAATTGAACTCTTCCAATATTAGATTAGTACTGAAGAAAACTTGTGAACTTCCTCAGAGAAGAGAAAAGTTAAAAAATCCATCTTTCATTCTACGAATTCGATTTGCTTATCTTCTCTTTCAACGTGAAAAGTTTCATTTGTATAATCATTAAAATTCATTATCATACCTAAATGGAAAATTCATATTTCACTTTTAAAAAAATCTCGTTTTTTCAGAGAAACAGTCGATGTAGCAAGTATATAATCTTATCACTGATAGTCACTAGCTGGTGGGTAATTTTCAATTGGTATTGTCGTTAAGATGTGGAATTTTCTTTTCTTTTGAATGAGATATAAAAATGCAGAGTCGAGCAAATGTAGGGGACAGTTACTATGCATATTTTAATCTGACTTTCATAAAACTCGAAATTAGGAAAGAATTTCGACTTTAAAAAAGACAAAATTCAGAATTTTTGGCGGTCAATTCAAAGGATCTGATAACTCTGAATATCTTCCTACTCAATTTCACCCTCTATTCTTTTCTGGTGAGACATTTTTACGACTATTTTCTTCTCATAATTCCGTGTATGTAATGTACCTTTGCTAAGAACTCAATAAACTTTAATTGCTTGTAAAAATGTGAGTTCCTACTAATTTCGATGTTGAACAATATCGTGCACTTTTAAACTCATCCATTTGTCGTATAAAACTTGCAACGGTAACAAGTGTTAGAAAGTATGGATTTCTATCTCAGCCAAGTATATCGTGACGCTACAAAACTCGATCAAAGATGAAAAATAAAATTAACTTTAATAGTAGAGGAAATCTTATTGCCAACTTTCAGAAGCGTACAAAAAAGGGCTTTTTCTATGATACATATTCGTAAAATGCCAACAATATTCAGAAATGTTAATGTAGTATTACTACAGTCAAATATTGATAACGACGAGAAAAAGTACAAAAGAAATTTATAATTAATAGAAACATTACATGAAGAGAAGCGATTTCATAACATTAGAGTACTATCACTTGGCTATGAATATTCTTACATATGGTAAATGATCAACCACTTTTAGAGACAAATATCTATTAAAAAGCGTAGCTTTCACAGATTGGCTGACGTTACCTCAACATTATATTGGTCTACTTTACAAGGCTGCAATATGGTTGAAATAGTGCTTTAATTCCGTTGTATTTATCACTACATTTGTCACCGGAAGCTTGTTCTTTCGAATGCTGAAAATTGCAGATATCTCGAGAAATATACTTCCTATTTATTAACGAATCCATATATTAATAATATAGAATAAGTGTTCGTCTCTAATAATTGTACACGTGGATGGTAAACGTTGTTGCAACCATTCAATAAGTTCATCATTTGTTGCCTTCAATTTCTCGTTTATTTTGTCATCGCAACAATAAACGTACAATGCTCGAAGCTTGGCCATTCCGTTGATAAGAGTAATTACATCTGCACGATAATTGACTTTGATTTGAAGCACCTCACATTGCATGCCTAGGGAAGAGGCACTCAATGCAGCACAAGCTTGGTTGTCAAAGCATAACGAATATCCTTGTGAAAAAAGTCGAAGGATCGATAAGTTTCTACTTTTTCCTGTCAATAATACTTGTTGAGTCGACGATGAGCATGATTTGATTCTCAATGAACGAAGACAAGGTGCTCTATTGAGCAAAGATTGCAATTGCGATTGGCCAATATCACTACCATTGTCCAATAATACATTGAGTGAAGTTAATTGTTCAAGTCTTGGAACAATCGACCAAAATTGATCATTAGCAGGCAATTTTATGGACATATAATGAATATTATGAAATTGAGCATGACACAAATTTAGTTCACCGGTTAGAACCATGTTGCAATGAAGATTACGTACATAATTGAATGACTGATGATTAGTATTGTGAGAATAAGTTGATTTAGACAAAATGGGAACGTTAAAATCAAAAGAGTTAAAGACATAGGGGAGAGTGTAAAGAATAGCATAAGTGTATTGTTTATCAGGCATCCAATCACAACGAACAAACCAACTATGTTCCTCAAGCCAAAATTGACTTCGAAATGAATCGATTAATGCATCAACTTCTCCTTCCTTGTTGTTAATGTCATGAATCTTAATTTCCATTTTTAGTTGAAATACTTTGAGTTTGTGCAAATGGTCACGAATAATTTGTTCCCATGAAAATCCATTTATATTAATGTAACGTATTTGAACTTTTAATTGACATAAGTTGGACATCATTTGCAAAAATTCGCGTATCATATACTGCGAAGTAGGCAGATGAAAAGAAAGATCCAATTTGGTTATCGATTGGAAAGTATATGGTGACACTACATAACTCGGTCTGAGGGTAATAGATGAAGAAAAGTTTCGAAGGTAAGGTGTGTAGTCAAATAAATAAGCTATCGGATTCAAACGAGGTTCAATTCCCGTGATGAATAATTGTTCGATCGATGATGAGATCACTGTTGGCGCGAGAAAATAAGCTCTATATGCTAAATTAGCGCATAATTGGCAATATATGAGCTTAGGTAGACTCCAAATACTATTGACAAAGCGCTGAAATGTCGTCCTGTTAGGTTGAAAGGTAAAACCAATTAGTTTCAAATGAGTAAGATTAGGAATGTGATGACATTCCAATATCATATTAATGATAGTATCTTCAGACGAGAGACTACACAATGAAAGTGTTCGTAAATTGGAAAATTGACGAAGAGCAAAACCATAATTAAGAAACAGATGAATTTGTTGTGGAGTTTCATTATCGTCCGAAAGACGAAATGAAATAATTCGATCGACAATCAATGGAAGGTATTTCCGACAGACGATATCGAAATCATGTTTGAACACAGATTGAAAGTCAAGAAAATGGACTTGAATATGAGCGAGAAGAAGATTATCAAAACGAGAATTGAGATCAATGAAGGCGTGAAGAAGTTTGGGACAAGTGAAATATTCGAAGAGTTCTAATAACAGCTCATTGGCCAATGATTCTAAACTCATGTTTCGTTCTGTTTTGCACTATTAATGCAATTTTATATTGACGTCAAATGTGTTCGAATTACGCAATAGTCATGTATCATGTATGAGTCATCGAAAACATCCACAAATAAACAGTTTTGCTTTGCAGACGCTTTTGATGACTCATACATGATACATGACTATTGCGTAATTCGAACACATTTGACGTCAATATAAAATTGCATTAATAGTGCAAAACAGAACGAAACATGAGTTTGAAAGCATTGGCTAATGAGCGGTTATTCGATTTCTACGAATATCTCACATGTCCCCATTTTTTTCAGCTAAACATGATCAATGAAAATTCATGATAACATTTAATACAAGTTATTTGATCAAACCGATCATTTTTTTCTATTGATATGGATAATATCGATATTTTTTTAGAATTTTCAATAATTCATTGGTGACTAAATCTGTGTAAAGCTACCACAACACGACCAGTCAGCACGACCAGTAAAATACTATGATACGTCAAAATGAAAACCAATCAGAAGATGATAAATAAAACAACATCATTATGAAGGAGAAACCCATGGACATGGTACTCCATAGTAACCGTACCGTATATATCACTGCTATACATACGGATATCATATTATCGGAAACACGAGAAGAAATATGCTTTTTTTCTACGAAATCATTTTTATGCACAATTTCTAGAGTTCTTCCTATCCTCATTAAAAGCACGCATCTTTCAATTTTCTACTAAAAATATTGAATGT